AAGGATACTGAGTTTGAATTCTTATTTGTGATATAGGGCAATTTCCTTAACCTTATCATTTATCACATTTGAAGGTTATTCTTTAACCTTCTAATTTATAACAATTCCAATATATATCAATTCGAAGGTTATTCTTTTACCTTCTAATTTATGACATTATGAGTGCAATGAGTAATCATCTAGTTTCAAAATGCAGGGTTGTTGTGAGGATTAAATATCCTAATACTTTTTCATAAGCCACTTATCAAAGTGACTAGCTCAACAGACAATCCACAGATGTTAGCTCTTCTCTCCAACTATCTCGGATGTTTATTTTATCTTTAAATTATTTTGAATAATAGTCAATATAGCCTATAAAAAATATAGCATATAGCCTTCAAGAAATAGGAATTTTCTTATCTCTAGTCATTTAATCATGCAAAGTCTTATGATTCTTGTGTGTGTGTTTCTTGTGTATGTTTCAAAGGCCTTTTATTTGTGCTCATGTCACTAAACTTGGAATAACTTTCCAAAGAATCAGAGATTAAATAAGATCAACTCTATTCCATAATTTTACATTTCTCTGGAAATAACTTAGTCTGAGTTTGTTTTAGTTCTTCTATATTTATATGCAATATATAAGCACAAAAATTTCCTAAAAAGATATATATTTTATAAAGGTATAAAAATTATTCTTACACATCAGTAAGGAAAAAATTAATACTCAATAAAGGGCAAAGAACAGAAGTAGACAACATAATACATTACAATTTCAAAGATCAATAGATATTTAATGTAATGCTTAACCCCAGTAATAAAATAAAATAAAGTAAAAATGGAAGCATTCAGTTTGGAAAACTAATTGCTAAAAAATTATCATATAAACAGGGTGTCCCAAAAATGTATACACACTTTAACAGCTGAGAGCTGTAGATTCTATTACATTTTGAAATTGAAATGTATTCTGCCTTTATTCAAAGTATGTATTCATTTTGGGGGGACACCCTATATATTTTTTCATTTCTTAAATAACTCTATTAGATTAAAGTTCTTGATTGCTCTTTCCATTGAAGTGTGGAATCTAATTCTCTTACTCTTGAATCTGAGCTGGCTTAGTATTTACGTGACAAATAGGATGTTGGCCTTTCGGAGCTGTCACAGAAGCCTTGCTGTTCATACTCATCCCTTGCATCACTCTCTCAGAGAGAAGCTGCTACCATGGGAGAAGCCTAGCTACCTTCAGAGTTTTATGCTGGAGAAAGTGCACAGACACTTCCATCAGCAGAACTGGTTGAACCCAGTCATCTAGCAATCCCCACTAAAGTGACAGATATGTGAGTAAAGAAATCTTGGCTCCTCCAGACCAGTCCATTTGCAATCTGAATACAACTGAGTATCCTCAACTGATTTAACATATTGTAGAAGAGCCACTAAGCCAAGCCCTTCTCAAATGTTGGACCAAAATTTTGTGAGGTGTCTTGATTTTAGCCTTTACATTTTGGGGTAATTTGTTAAACAGCAAGAGATAATCAGAACAACTGGGACAATTCTTAATGTTATGTATTGCAAGGAAAACAAATAAAAACCTTAGATTGATATATAACTTTTAACTTGGTGGTAAAATAAAAGATTAAGAATTTAAATATTAGTTTTCTATTAAGCAAAATATATAACATCTTCACCTCCCCCCCAATCCTGATAAATCTTTGTTGCCCTGAAGTCCTATAAAGTAACTGGGAGTAAGGTAGGAAGAGGACTCAGACTTACTATTCATAGGTACTCTTTACTCATTTGATGGCACAACCTGATCTGACCCAAACTTATTTAATGTGAATTTACATAAGGCTATTTATCACTTTTGTTTTTAAACTTAGCAAGCTTACACAGATATTATTTATAAAAGTAGAAAACTGGATTTGATTTAAATTCACAACTGTAAGGGATTGATTTATTATGCCATCATTAAAATTTTTGTCTTAGAATTTTTAAAATATTTTTTAAATGCACTATACCCAACATTGAAAATAGACATTAAAATATAGAAAATACAATTGTTGTCTCCCCCAAAAATCAAGAACTATAAATAGATACCAATATTATTAAATCTAAGTGAGAATGAACTAAATAGAGGTACATTTACCAGATTTTGTGAAAGTGAATAGACTGGAGAGTTTTAATTTCAACTCTCAGGATAAATGAAGACTTCTCCTCTAGTTGCTGAAAATCCTCAGAAGTCTGAGCTTACTGGATTTTCTTTAAGGGAAGCAGTGAGTCAGGGAAGAATTGGGGTCATCTAAGTGCTGTGGCATTGCCGCATACAGCAGGCTTCACGTTCAAAAGCTCAATTAAACGTGCTCAATCAAAAAAAGGAAAAAAAAGAAACCCTACATTGTGTGGGTGACTGATGAATCTCTCCATTCTACTGAAGGAGCAGAGGATGCAGGTAGAATGTGAGAAGGTTGACACAAATTCTTCCTGGCTTCCCAGATACCTCTCAGGACACAACTGTGTCCCCCCCTGGATGGGAGTCTTGTGTTTATAGTCTGTTTTTCCATAACATTGTTTTCCAAAATACAAGCTAGATACTTTATCTTGACATCAAGCAAAGCATTCTGGTTTCCATAATGAATGAAACGCGATCCACACTGGTCTTAAAAAATGTAGGTCTTCAACATGTCATCTCCTTTTGTAGATTTGTGGTTTGCTTAACAGGTGACGGGGACCCTTAAGTTCTACGTCCCTGCATCTTACAGATATAGAAACTCAGGTCCAGCACACTCAAGCTCTAGAACCCTAGGTTCCCACTCTCTGTTGTTACTTTTTCCTCCATGTTCTCCATTGTGTTTCTGTGAAGATTTTGGAGTTCTCAAGTGCTACACACCCGTCTCTGGGGGTGACAAATGGGGATTACGGATGATTCTGTTAGCTGCTTCAGTGCCTTCATAAACCTGCTTTCCTCCTTCCAGAAAACAGAATTGCACCTCGGAGGATTCTCTGGCTTCAATCTCTACACACTTATTTCAAACATGGGGAATTTAGCATTGAAAGCAGGATGTATCCACTGATTTGTAGGGAATGCATGAACCGCCTTTTTTTTTTAAAAAAAAAATCCTCACCTGAGAGTATGTTTTCATTGATTGTTTAGAGAGAGAGGAAGGGTGAGAGAGAAACATCAATGTGTCAGAGAAACACTGGTCAGGTGCCTCTTGTATGTGCCCAGGAGGAAGGGGTGGACCCACCTGTGGGACAACTTGCTTTCTTTTCTCCCCACACTTGTTTCCACTATTCTCACACTAACTTTGAGGAGAAGGAAATAATAATTTAAGATTATTCCATTAAAAATACTTCATTCTAACCTAGTTCCACCTCCTGCAACCGATGGAGAAGGGGAGTTATTTTCTGAGTACCAGCACACACTTGAACCTAAATTCTTTAAGTCAAAAAAGCCCCTCAGCCCTGAAGGACACACTGGTCAGTTGTGTTTTTTTGTGTGTGTGTGTGTGTTTTTTTCTGTTAGCACAGCAAGTTTTGAAACAAATACAGTATATAGGCAGGACATTAGGGGAAACAGAGGAACTTCACTCAACCTACAAACTTTCATCCAATTACTAATTAATATTAAGTAATATTAACAATAAAAAATGCTTTCTCCCGTAATCAACATTCTCCCACCAACAATTTGTATACTTTAAATGGACTATTACTGCCTTCTCAATAGCTAGATATTTTTCAGGTTTCATGATTAATAAAATTAGCTAACTGGAGAATCAGTTCTCCTCACTTATTTTAATAATCTCCCAGCATCAGAAATGTGGAGTCTTCTCAGTTCTTGCATAAACAGGTAAAGGAAACTAAAATGATTAATGGCAACCATTGTTCTCCAACCACTGCAAGTTGCTATCAGTTTTAGTTACTATAATCCGCCACCTCTTCAATGAGCCTTTGTTTTCTTCAACTTCTTCCCTAGGTTGATGTATTAGTTTTCTATTGTTGCTGTAACAAATTACTACAAATTTAGTAGCTTAAAACAACACAAACCTATTATCTTACAGTTCCGTACGTTAGAAGTCAAACACAGGTCTCACTGGGTTCATATCAAGGTGTTGATGGGGCTGTATTCATTTATCAAGAATCCATTTCCTTGCCTCTTCCAGTTTCTAGAGGCTTCCCACATTCTTTGGCTCATGATCCCTTCTTCCACTTACTTTCTTTTTTTAAAAAATTTCTTTATTGATTAAGTTATTGCATATGTGTCCTTATCCCCACTCCAGAGCCTCTGGCCGTAGCCAGGAAATGTTCTCAGCTTTTAAAGAGGCATGTGATTGGGTACACTTGATAATCCAGGTTAATTTTCCCATGCCTAAGTCTTTAACCTTAGTCACACCCCTTCTCCAAACTGATCTTCAGTCAGAATTCACCATGTTTTCCCTTGCTTTAGGTGACATTTCTCACTCATTGTCTCCTGTACTTGTCCTTCAAGTCTCAGCCAAGTCTTAACTTGCTAACAAAGTTCTTGCTGATGGTTGTCATCCTTACTTCCCATAGCAGAAGTCCATGAGCTATTTAAATATTCTCATTGCAAATATGAGTACTCCTTTATTTGTCTTTTCATTGCACCTGTGTATTTATCTGTTTTGTTTTGTTTTGTTTTTTAATCTCCATTTAATGTATCTGTCCTCATCTAAGTATTGGACAGAAATATGGAACATAGTAGGCATTCATATAATGCTTTGTTATTTGAAATATTAAACTTAGTCATCATGTTTATTATTAATTCAATGTAGAAAACTTCAGATAACTGTGACAATTTTATTTTATTTTTTTTAAATATATTTTATTGATTTTTTACAGAGAGGAAGGGAGAGAGACAGAGAGATAGAAACATCGATGAGAGAGAAACACCGACCAGCCGCCTCCCGCACATCTCCCACTGGGGACGTGCCCGCAACCCTGGCACATGCCCTCGACCGGAATCGAACCTGGGACCCCTCAGTCCACAGGCCGACACTCTATCCACTGAGCCAAACCGGTTTTGGCAACTGTGACAATTTTAATGGGTCCTTCCTGTATTAGAAATTATACATATAAAGCAAAAAATAAGAAAATAATAAATCATGCTAAATAAAAGTAGAACATTATGCTTATACTAGAGGCCTGATGCATGAAATTCATGCAAGGGGCTTAGCCCTCACAGCCCTGGCTTCGTCTGGAAGGTCATCTGGAAAGACACTAGAAAGATGTCCGGTCTAATTAGCATATTATGCTTTTATTATTATAGATGAGTTTGAATAGCATGAACTTAAGATAAATGTAGAATTGTGTTTAATAAAAGCGTGCTAAATTAATAGAAAAATAGTTAATGTAAAACATTTTAAAATTTTATGTATGACAAGGCTGTACATTTTACTTTTCTTCTATTTCTACCTCTTTTTAGAAATAGTTGAGCATGTTATTGAATGGCCTTTTAGGTCAATTTAATTAATTTAAATAAGTAAGATACTGAAATTTAGATATATAAAATGAAATATTTAAGTTAAAGATAATGAAGTTGGTACAAGTGAAAGAATGTAAAATGCTCAGTCAGAATAAAAAAATAAAAAGCTCATTTGTTTGTTATTGTGGCGTGTGTTTTTTACTGCATTTAACATCTTATCTAAAAACACACAAAGCCATGTAGGTTCATTGAGTTTTATATTGATGAGGTGGGATACATTGTTAAAAACAAGCAATTCTACGAGACTTCCGCTGGATAACATCGGATTAGACACTAGTTTGATCAGTTAAATAATAGGTTGTTTTGTTTTGGCTTTTATTTTGTTTTGTTTACCATGCACAAAACTTTCACTCAATATCGGTGACACATTTTATTTACATTCCCCAAAACCTCCACAATGACTCGGTTATAGATCAGTAATTCATGCTTTTTTATTCTTCAGTTTTATTACCTAACTTACTCTTCTAAGCATCGTTTTATGTTTCTAGTTAAATATAAGTGAAAATTGATTGGAGTATTTCTCAATGGAATTTTATCTTTATTTCATCATAATTGCTTCATATTTGAATAATGACAGATGAACTGCCTCATTCAATTGCAGTTTTAAGGCTTTGAAGTTACAATAACAGCACAGGATTTTAAATCCTCAAGCCATTATATTAGCAGAAAAGACATTGAGGAAAATGAAAACTTATGGTGCTATAACTTGTTGGGGGGGAAAAAAGGACTCCAATGGTTAAAATATATTATTTCCTGGGCAATTTCTAAGCTAAGACATTCTGACATAAGAGCAACATAGATATTTACATTGTAGTCCCACCATCCTAATTACTTCTAGAGTAGTATTTGATAACTATTGAGCCAAAATATATACAGCAAATAAATGACACTACACTTATTTTGCTTCAGGATAAAGCACCATGTCAGTTGCATTTATAATTCTATTCAGCAACAATTCAGTATTTCACCAAAAGAGAGTTCATTAGACCTTTGTCTTTTTTCTCTGGCATTTATATCAAGAGCTGAGTACTTGGTAATACTTCAAGATATGAATTTCTAAGTTCTCTTTGTCTTCATCTTCAGTTTTTTTTATTTTTTATTTTTATTGATTTCAGAGAGGAAGGGAGAAGGAGAGAGAGAAACATCAATGATGAGAGAGAATATTTGATTGGCTGCCTCCTGCATGCCCCCTACAGGGGATCCGGACTGCAACATGGGCATGTGCCCTTGCCAGGAATCCAGCATGGGACCCTTCAGTCCACAGGCTGACGCTCTATCCACTGAGCCAAACCAGCAAGGGCATCATCTTCAGTTTCAAATAATGAATCAAACAATATGTGCTATTTAACTACTCAGAATTTTTTTTGTCATTTTAGGCTTAAGGGGAGAAATGAGATTGACTACTCAAGTTTCTCCTTATGTTGCAGACTACTGAAGAGATCACAAGGTCTTTGTATCTTGAGAATGAGTCTACAGTTTTTTGTTTTGTTTTGTTTTGGTTTTTTTTTGTGTGTGTGTGTGTGTGTATGTTTTATTATTGTTTCACCCGAGGATATTTTTCCATTGATTTTTAGAGAGACTGAAAAATGACACACCATGACAAAAATTACATGCATAAAACCTTAATTGACTATTACTTAATTTCAGAAAATATTTTTATTTTATCCTTTCCCATACTGTTCCTCCTCAATTGTTTTAGGCTCCTGCCTGAGTTAAGGAGAACTTTGGTGCATTTTTCTTTGAAATGAATTTGGCCAACTTCATCAAATCAATCGATTGATTCCAGTCAGATGTCTCGATTTCTTATGATTCAAATCTCTATTTGCCAACTTCTCTCTCTTGAGCTCCTTTCTTTAAAAAAGATCTGGCACTTAGGAATAGAACTTGGCAACAATTGGTGGGGTCTGAAATGGCAAGAAGAAAGATGAAGAGGAATGTATGGAATTATATCAAAGCGCATTTGCCTTTCTGGGTGCTCCAAATGCACAAAGTGATAGCTGGTCCCACAGATCTAGGAAAATGTTATTCCTATGTCATATTCACATTGTACTTTCTGAACCCAATTCTTAAGTCCTGGAAACTTTCTCCTCTCTCAACTACGGTGCACAGGCATTTATACTTCCAAGTTCCTCCACTGAAAATACATTTGACCTCAGTGCTCCAGCACCAAAATAATAATCCTTTTCCCAATCCCTCCTCCATTTTCAAGGCCCATAGCAGGGGTACAAATAAAGATCACATATTACTAAATATTCAAAAGTTATCAAACATATTCTTAATAAGCTAACAAATAATACCTAGTTCTATTTTCCTAGCTTGGTATATATTTCTTTACAATAACCTGGAAAACTTGATTCAAAGTTTGAATTCTTATGCTTCTTGGAGTTGATCCTGAAATGAGGGTGCAGGGAAGCCAAACCTCTGCCCTTGGTCTCAAGTTGAGGAGCCCAGCTCTCTTTCGCTCTCATCCCACAGCTGGAGGGACCTCATCAGCATTCATCTCCAGTTTTACCCAACCCTCTCCCCCAAACAGCTCTTCCTCAGCCAAGCCTGGGCCCAGTGATGTACACAGCTGGTAGTGTGGTCAACCCTTGGAAAGATGAAGCAACGAAGAGGATTTAATAATATCTGGCAGCATCTCAGGTCTCTTTGGGCAGAAAATTTCCAAACCATCAATAGAAGCCCAGGGGGCCAGAGACACCACTCTTACTGGGCACATTTTCTTGGTGCTGTGGACCACTAACTCTTGAGGAAGAGTACTTCTGGAGGTAAACCACAGTAAGGGCCTCTAATATGAGGGTTTCATTTCCAGGAGGGGCCTTTTCAGGTCTCAGCTTCATGCTAGAGAAGGAGGAACCTGAGGCCATTCATATTAACATGTGAATGGTCAATGATAGTAATCCTTTAGTAAGGTTGATAGGACCCCCTACGTCCAAAATAAATGAGGTCACCAGCTTTGCATTTCATTTATTTTTAATTTTTATTTTAAATATATTTTTAATGATCTCAGAGAGAGAGGGAAAGAAAAATAGAAACATCAATGATGAGAAAGAATCATTGATTGGCTGCCTCTTACATGCCCCAGATGAGCTTGCAACCTGAGCATGTGCCCTGACTGGGAATCAAACTATGACCTAGTTCATAGGTCGACGCTCAACCACTGAGCGGCACCAGGTGGGCACCAGCTTTGCATTTTAGAGATTAATTTGTTAGGTGGTTGTTTAAAATTTAGAATTCTGTTGTCAAGTGAGGTGGCAAAAGCTTGTTTAGTTTACAATATAGTTGATCTACTATTGAAAAGGAAACAGGAGACCACACTAATCTTGCAACGCTACTTAATTCAATTACATGCAAAAACATAAAACAAAGTAAAATAAACCCAGAAGTCTTTTAGTGTCCTGTAATTCTTCATAAAATTTGAAGTCTCTCAGTAATAACTGTTCATCATGACTATAGTTAATATTCTGGGACCATTCAGATTAGAGTTTCTTAACTCAAGGAACATTATAATTCAAGACAAGAACTTGAAGAATGAGCCATTGGCCCTATATTATTCTGTCAGTGTTAACCTGGAGCATTACTTTTGGGCATGACTAGCACCCAACCACTCTGAGTGTAAGGCTGCATATTAATACCAATAATCACCTAGTCAATGTCTATGCCTCACCACTTTTTAAATATTTTGAAAATCATCTTTGCTTTTTGAATTTGTTCCATTGGGACAAACGAAATAAATAAATTACCTAAAATATAATCTTAAATAAGCTGTACAAACAGAAATATATTTTAAATATAATAAAACTTTGCAACAGATCAGAATCAGATGTAAAAAGAATGATATTTTGCCCTGGCTAGTGTGGCTCAGCTGGTTGGGCATCAACCATGCACCAGGAGGTTGCTGGTTTGATTCTGGGTCAAGGGCACATGACCAGATTGTGGGGTTCAGTCCCCAGTAGAGGGTGGGCAAGAGGCAGTAGATTGACATTCTACTCTCACATTGATGTTTCTCTCTCCCTCTCCCTTCCTCTTCCTCAAAAAATCAATAAAGTATTAAAAATGGTATTTTATGGTTCTTCACTATTCAACTTTTCATTGGGGAGTAAGCTTTCTTTCTTTCTTCTTTTTAGGGGAGATTAGGCAATGGGCAAGCAGAGGTGACCATGACTCAGGAGACAGGTGTGTTCTACCTTCCCAGTAAGTTTCTGTCCACTTCTCACCAGATCTAGCTGATGGAATTAACCCAGCCTCCAACTAACTACAGAGTAACTGTGCAATTTCTAATGTTATTGCTATGGTACAGGAAGTCCCAGGCAGCCACCAAACCCATAATGCCCGTGGCACCAAACCACAGACGACCCCAGAACCGATTTGAATCCTATTAGTCGATGGGTATCTCAGACTTTGAGCTGGCTGGACGGCAGGATAGCCCCTGGCATTTCATTAACCTCAGGGAGGGTACAATCCTAGTTTTTACATGATTTATTATTCTTTGGATCCCATTTATCTTGACTTAGATTTTGCTCTACAAAGAAAAAAAAA